TGTCGCCAGCATGCGATCACTTCTCCAAACTTCACTTATGAAAGAACTGTCCGTTGGCTTTTGTTTGGTACTTCGCCTGTCGTATTAGTTGCAGAGATACTTTGTATGTTCATTTTCGTTGTTGTTAATTATAAATGTTTATTACGTATTAAAATTAACATTGGTTAATGTGAACAAATCTATAATATGAACGACTTTGTTTTTTGGTTCACACTATTGAATGTCTAGGGAATTTATTAAATTTAAATAAAAAATCTTAAATTTTAAATAATCCGTAATAAAGGTAACGATCTCACAGAAAAATTATTACCGAAGGTCAAAATTTTCAGGATAACTGGTGGTTTCAGTCCTGGGGTAACTAATATAACCCTGAGTGTAAAGTTTTTCGGCGATGAACATTGCTTGTTGTGGACCCACACCCAATCCAGAACTAGCCACTCGCATTAATTCAACAGTATTCAACGCTAAGGGCCTTGGCTTTATCAATTTCTTTGATGTTACACTAACGACTCTACATAAAAAGTTTATATTATCAATTAAATTAACAATTTAAAATAACAGTATTTCAACAGATTGCAAACCATTCAATCAATTATTTGTGTGTAACATATTACTAATTCTACATTAAAATATCCTGTGGTTATAATATTTAACTTTTTCTTAACATTCATTATGATTGACTAAATCGTTTTTTTCAGTTTTTTTGATAATATGATACACCTATTGAGACAGGAACAATGATGATCATTGTTGAACAAGTAAATTAGATTATTACTGTTAATTAATGCTAGTTTTTGGAAAATGCAAAAGATCGACTTACAATAAGGTAACAAACATGTGGCATTCATTTTTATATAACAAAAAGTTAAATGAAATAAAATTTGAAAGAGTAATTTAAATCTTTTACAGTACAGAAAAGAAGTCCTCTAATCTCATTCAATTTGTTATTTCTTATTTATAACAATCCGTTTTGTATATCCACGCATTCAGAATTTAATAAAGACACCTATAAATTGTTTTCTACCTAGCATGCTTCTGGTCCTTAACAAGTTGCAAAAAAATGCCAGCAATTTCTTTATCAAAGCATCTTACTCTCTGCCAATCTAAAACAATTTCTTCTCCATCTTTAGTTTTGATTGACACTTGGAGAACCCAATAAATTTCAGGTTTAAATGTTTGAATTTCATCATGCCTTTGAACACAAAAACCTAAAGTTGGAGTTTGACAAGGCCCATAAGATATTAATGTAGAATCTAAATCTCCATATCTTCCCTGAAAATATTTTGTTTGAAACCTTGTAAAAGCACATCCAATTCTTAAATCTAGCTCCTGGCGAGCATCAACACTTTTGGCTTCATTCTCATTTGGAAAACCTATAAAACAAGTGCAATTTACTAACCCAATGAAAAATCTTTGCTCTTTAAATGTTAATGACAATAAATGTGTTCAGTTCACAGATGAAATAAAACTAAACTGTAAAGAACATTTTTTTTTTAACAGCTACAAATTACACACTAAATTTTGAAACTGCTAGGAATAGATACACCAAGGTACCTCTAGTTTTTCTTAATGTTAGATTTCAGTTTATGAATTTTACAAACTTTACCTAAATTTTCAAATGCTGCTTTAATATCCTTTTCAGTAATTGCAGAGAAATGGGCCCTATATGTGACTGCATTGCTATACACATTTCCATTAAATGATCCAGAAACGGCCTGCATTACTTCAAAACAAATATTTTCTCCTTCTTTATCACAATCTAGCCACAACACAAGAGTGTCACAACCTTTAGCTTCTTGGGCTAAAAACTGAGGCATTTTTAATTTAGGCATTGCTTCCTTCTTTTCAATGGGACATGAGAAAAGCTCAATGGGATCAACTTTATCCCAGTTATTGTATTTACTTATAAAATCAACTCCCATAACATGTCCACAAACACTGGTCATTTTAAAACGTGCTGGGGTACCTTTAAAAGTACTATTCCACTCATGTATTGAGCAAGCCCCGTTAAAACCTACAATAATTTTACTAGAAACTTGAATTTGAAAATTAACTGTTTTACCTTTTCTGCTTGAATTTTTTCCATTACTTAAAATATTCGCTAAAGACGCAGCTAACGAAGGCTTTTCAGCAACCATTAAAACGGTCTTCATTTTTAATTTAATTATTTATACAAGAAATACTTTAAACTTCTCTAGTCCGCATAACCTTAAATCTTAGTAATCAAATTATAATTGTCAAAAGTTATTAACGTCAATATTAAATTGAATGTTCGCCATCTACAAGTACTTGTAGCACTCACTAGTTCCTATCATTAGTAAACTGTCACTGATTGGAATTTTACAGAGAGTACCAGCAGATGGCCAGAAATACTCGTTTGGATCATAATATACCCTGAATAGTTTCAATAGAGGTCAGCAAAGTAAAGAATGAGACATGAATGAAACCGATCTATACAGGGTGGTGCATTTAAAACTTCCCACTTGGAATATTTTGTTGGAACAATATACTCTAATTTTTGTATGTTGAAATATTTAAAACAAGCAGTTTTATAAAAAAAGGTAAAATTTAATTTTTTAAATCTTTTCGGTTTATATCTGATTTTTTAGGAAATAAACTTACAGGAATAAATTTTTAAGTATCTACATTGTGTATGCATATTTTAAAACGCGAAAGTACATATGGTTATTCTCTAAAATTTTGTATCTTTATTTTATCAGTTCAAAATTCATGTATTGTTTTAAATGTATATTAGAATACGAGTAAGATTATACAGTGAGGACGCATACAGTGAGGACGCGTGAGTTGGAACAAATTCATTTAGAATTCAGGGGTTTCTTTTCTGGAAAAACGCTCGGACACGTCGATCTTTATTAATAGCTGCCGATTTCTTCATTGTAAATTCATGTATACAGGGTGTCCCAAAAATAAGCCACTATCACTGACTATTTTTTCAAATGGAAGCACCTATTATTTATGACATTTTTCAATTCTGTATCGAATTTTACCTTTGTGTCAATTTCTTAGACCAACTACAAAATTATATAACACCCACATTAACTGCGTTTTACCGAAATATACCAGCAGGTTCGTTATTGTTCCAACAACATAGAGCAACCTCACACTATTCGCAAATAGTACGAGATTACCTTAACAATATTTTCCCAAATAGATTGCTCGGAAGGAGAGGCGTTATAGAATAATCAGTTACGTTTCCATCAGATTTTTATCTGTGGGGTTATCTGAAATTTAAAGTCTACTTCAATAACTATGTTTCATGTACCATGTCCTATACCTAAGGTAGCAGTTATCGATAAATTTAAAAATGATGGGGAAGACGCGTATATTAGAACAAGCATATTTAAAGTTGAGCGATTTGTTTTTTAGAAATTTATTAAACAATATAACAAAAAAATATTTAAATAAATGTTTATTTGTCGAGTAACACTTGTGGCTGGATTTCTTGAATTTCAATTCTAATTGTATTCCACAATTTTTGTTATTGAAATAGACTTTAGATTTCAAATAACCCCATAGATAAAAATTTAATGGAGCCAGGTCTGGAGACTTAACTGACCATTTAATAACGTATCTCCATCCGATCCATCTATTTGGTAAAATATTATTAAGGCAATCTCATACTATTCGTGAATAGTTTGGGGATGCTCCATGCTGTTGGAACTATACCGAACCTGCTGGTATATTTGGGATCTCGGCATTTGGGTAAAGCGCAGTTAACCTGTGTATTATGTAATAAACAGTAGGTGTTTCCTTGATGGTATCTGTCGTTATCACTTAGTGAAACATGATTTGAGATTATAAATTAAAATTAAATCAAACAATTTGGAAATTTCACTTAAAACTTTATTAAAAACTCGATACGTATTTCGCCATATAAGGGCATCTTCAGAAATAACAAAAACTGTACTGATGATGCCCTTATAAGGCGAAATACGTATCGCGTTTTTAATAAAGTTTTAAGTGAAATTCCCAAATTGTCTATGTGTTTCCGTTTGAAGTAATAAATTCCGTGGTAGGGGCTTATTTTTCGGCCACCCTGAATACATGAATTTAGGATGAAGAAACCCGAGTCAAAAATAAAGATCGACGTGTCCGAGAATCTTTTTAAAAATCAAACTAAATCCCCTGAATTTTAAAAGAATTTGTTCCAATCCACGTGTATAAATATACAAACAAAGAAGTGGTCTCATTAGATGGTAGTGAATATACGCGTTTGTAACTGTAAAATAATCTTAATTTTAAATTGCCCAGTTCACTTAAACAAACCTTTTCAGCGTATTTGCCTGCAGATTATTTAAATCTGTATTTATCTTCTGTTTAATGTTCACATTACGGCCTGTTTACGTATATTTAATTTCGTTCATTCAAAACTCTAAAACTCCAAAAGAAAATAAAATTACTTCACGTGAGAACCATAAGTAGGTACTACACAATACAAAAGCTTTCTTTTTTTTTAATCTTATGAAACTCTCCTTTCATATTATATCCTCTCACAATCATTTCTTTTCATTCTCTTTTTCAAGATTTTTTTTTAAAAATATGTTCTCCTGCCTTCTGCACCTATCACCACCGTGTAATCGATCAAATTTTTGTTGCGTTGTGAATAAGTACTGATTGAATGAGAAATTAATAATCAAGCCTCTGAGAGACATAATTAAAAGAATTCTCCCTGTACGTAGGCCATTTGGTTAGTTTTGAGATTTAGCATCTGAACTTCAAATTTATTCAAAAGTAGACTAGTGTTGCCCAAAAATCTTGAGTGATTTGAGCGCGATGTGCAGATGCGTTATCGTAATGTAGCCGTCAAGCATCATCAAGTTTTTGAGAGACACAAGCAATTAAGTTACACAAATCTCCGTGTACCATTTTGCTGTAACAATTTTCTGTTCTTCAAGATATATACGGAGAAAACTAAATTTTTATGCCAAAGCAGAAATTACAATTTTCGATTGTAAATGAATTTGCCGTAGAAATAGTAGAATTTATTAGGTAACTTGTAATTATCTCAATTTTGAGATGTTTCTTTAAGAATTATTTCAAGTTTCTTAATTATTACAACTAAAATACCTAGTAAATTTATTTCTTTACAAATTCGGGTTCAAATTGTAATTTTTATTATTTTCGCTTACGAAGCAACGGGCTAGTGGAATAAATTGTAAATATCACTTTAATATTCAGGTAAATTTTCCTTTTTCATTTTCTCCGTGTATTTTCTTAATTATACCTCTTTTGCCAAAGAAAACTACGATCAATTTTTTTCACCAATCTGACGGTGGTTAATTAAGCTAGATCGCCATATACCTACTTATCGTGCCTTCCTATACCTAGGTTTTTATTACAATTTTATATAGGCAAATTTGCAACCTAATATCAGCAGCATTAATTAAGTTACGCCTTCCTTTAGCTGAACAATGTAATTTAGTTGCTGTTATGCGTTTGTCATATATCCCTGATGTATTTGGGACTCCTCCACTCGTATCAATTGTGAGCTTCTTTTTTTTTCAATTTATTTCACTGCCTCAACGTTTTCTTGAAATGATATAAATAATTGTGATAGACGTTGGAATTCTTTTTCAAATTAGTTTTATTGACCCCTATTTTCTTTATTCGACAAGAAAGCAATTTACATGTAACAGAAATATTTATTTAAATGTAATTTGAATTAGGCTTCATTGAATCCTGTGCGCGAACTTATTTATCCTTTTCTTATGTACGCATTCAATTTTTGGAAGATCATTCACGTATTTAGTCTCAGTAATCTCAATCAATTATAGTACTTTTACAATATATTACAAACTTTCATCGTTCGATAAACATCATCGCGGTAGTCCTGCATTACAACATTAGATTCTCATTACCGAATAGGCAAATGGGCAGGTCAGGGTCGAATTGGCACATGAATGTAGCAGGTAGATAAAACGGTGGGTGAACTGGCACCCGGGAGGGACGAATTATTACCCGCTGTCTTAATCGCGATAATTAATTAAAGTCAGTTACGATATTTATGGATGTATGTTAGAAGATAATAAGAGAATTATGTGTATTTCTTGTTGTATTACCAGAATAAGAAGCTTTATGATATGAATTTCCTTTCAAAAAAAGTAGAAACAGGATACGGTGGTAAAGAAATAAATAAATCAAAAGGTTGTCCTGGTTACCACAAAGCTGTATGTTTCACTTACTTTTAAGTGGTATTTTAAGGCGATAGTGGACCAGTCTCGCGTTGATAGGTAATGTCCACACGTGTCCGTAGTAAATAAGATTGGTGGTAACTAGGGTGAGTCTCTTTTTCCAACAAAGTTAAGTAATGGTGTACAAAGGTAGATTTGTGCTCCTGCAAAATCTAAGGATGTTTGGGAGGTATGTCAAAATGCTACGAGACAAATAAAAATTTGGAAGAACGTTCCTCATTCAATTCTCAAACTTCTATAACAATTACAAATCGATTCACTAAACCGTTAAAANTAAATGTATTTTAAACGAAATACGCAGCCAGTTGGGCCATTTTATCTTTTGGTGGTTTAGGCTTTCTTCTGGAACCTCCACCCCTGCCTCTGTTACTTCCTCTACTGTAACTGGGTCTGGGTTTACTTGCTACCGCCTTATGCTTTTCAACGAGATTTGCGAAATCTGGAGAGCAGAATACACAACCATTTTTCTCCGTATCTCCATTAGGAAGTTTAGATTTATCTTCTTTATATTCAACATTGACCAATTGAGCGCCGCAATCGCAAACTTCTTCCAGAACTGACACCTTATTGGCATCCTCAAAGCAGTTGATAATTACGTCACACCTGAAGAGACAATGCAATAAAGTATTGGAAAATAGGAAACGGTAAAAATTGGAACTGATTTTTTTTAAATATTGGAAAATTACACAGTTAAATGTGACAAGACTGACTTAGAAGAAAAAGGGGAAAAATGAAGAAGAGAAACAAATCTGGTAATCTTGGTCTTCAACAGTACGACGCATTTGCTATGCAGTTATGTCAAAAAATCATTACTTAAAACATAAACTAAACAATTTTAAAGGTGTTGTGTTGATACATACTTCGTTATAAGGGTCAATTTCTAAAATTACTTGGGTACTTATGTCCAGTAGATACATACATACATATATTGATACTGTGCACCAACTAATAGTGTAAACTACAGGGGAATCAATAAATTGATACATAAAATTTAATACAACAAATTAATTTTACTCGTTAACGAGGCCAGATGTTATACATCATTGGCGACTAGTATAAGACCCGCATTTTTGGGTATCATGTCAATGCTATTTGCGAAGGTCATATAAATAGTTTTATCTAAATTACTTTTTTTTTTTTTTGATATGGTAAAAGTTAATGAACAATTCTATATTATTATAAAACCAAATTAATTTAATTTAAACAGGATATTAGGAACCATAATTGAAATATTGTAGTGCAAGCACATAGTCAAAAAAACACTTCGTTAGTTTAGTTTCATAGTAAAATTCACAATACCTAGGTACAAAATATGAGGAGAAAATTACGATTACACTTTACCTGTTACAGCCCAATTTCCATTTTGGCGCAGCTGATTGGTCTAATACGAGAACTCCATATTCACACTCAACACATCCTGATAACCCATTAGTATTCAGACTGTATTGACATGTTGGATGAATACACGAATTGCAACCCATTCCTTTTCTCATTTCCCTAGATTGTGAATAAATTTTGCAACTGAAAGAAACAGCAGCATTGCAATACAAAAGAATTACCTGAATGGGGGATTATTGAAGCAGTAAGGACAGAAAATATAACTTTTCCCCTTAGTACCAGTTGAATAGACAAGAAGTTCGAAGTCGTCAAGAGGACACCTGAGTTCTTTATAAAGTTTAATGTTACCGTTTTGTGGCAAATTGTACGTTTCATCGCAATGTGGACAGTGCAATCGTTGAGGTTTTGCTTGAATAAATTTAAGGTATCTTCTGCATTTTCCGCATCTAAAGTTAAGAAAAAGTAACTTTGAAAACTGCAAATTTACGTTGAAATAAAAAACGGGAAAAAAATAAATCACCTTGAATGGGCTTTTCCGGAAGCACTGAGTGGCGAAAACGAAACTTCAAATAATTGATCCATTGCATCAATATTCCTTACAAAATATTGAAACTTTAATCTGAATATTTCGAGAGCATGCTTTAATACTGCATTGAAATTGGCTTTTCCATGTGCGATCAAATTGAGTTGTTTCTCGACAGCTGAACGCATTGTAGGTAGAACAAGCTCTTTATCGATCTAAAATAAATTTTAGACTGATGAAATTTCCAAATAATTTCTATAAATACTACTTTTTGATAACCGTGAACCAATACTATTCCTAGAGTAGTAGGTACTAATCTTCGTCCGGAAGCCACTGTAACGTAATTTCTTTGGCATATATTATTGATATGAACTGGTATCGAAGCATCTGTACCAATGGCGTGTTTTTCCATTAGCGTAATTACCTCTGCTTCAGTGAGGTAGTCTGGAGGTGAGGTTTGGCGTTCGACTAATCTCGCGTCAGTTAAAGGAACAAGTTCATTCTCAGAAAATTCTGGCAATATTTCGTTTTTGCCTAAAGCCTTTAAACATTTATGCACAATTACTTATTTTTTTTACTAGTACATAACTAGATTATTTCTATACTTTTGTAATTTAACTAAGAAAATAATTTTTTTGGTGATAAGAATTTAATTTTGTTGGATTAAAATTTAATTTTTAATTATTCAAATTTAACTTTCGTTAATAGCCTACAACAGTTCAATTTTATTTTTTTTATATATCGACGTTTCTTACATCGAGTTACTTTCGGCTATTAATTAAATTTGAATGCTTAAAAATAAGACTTATTAAATGAAATAAATAACACGCTAGTTTGATACATACTTGCCAAGGCATAATCGTGGTGTATCCTGGGTCGATTAAAGTTTTTCCATTTGCTGTAAATGTTTCCGCATTTATGTCGAAAACGGCCGTTTTACTCATGTAAGTGCAATCCCGAGCTACAGTGCCAATAAAGTGTCGTGTTATGTAGTCGTATAAACGCCAGGAATCACCGTCTAATTCGTTTTTTGAAGCTGCTTTCATTGGGGTTATTGGAGGGTGATCGCCTAAATAAAGTTCCCATGAAACATTTTTCACAACAAAAATGGTTTAAAATATATTTAGTTAAAAAAAGAGTACCTAATACATTTAAAGTTGTTGTTTTTGAGAAATTGCTACTATGCAAGTGATGATTCAAATGTTTATTAAAAACACTACAGTTGTACAAATCAAAACAAATTATTATATTTAAGTATATTAATCTTGAATTACATAATTTTAAACATTTTATTAAGTGGTATGAGCAACCTTATTTATTACAGGTCATAGTTATGTCAAAATTATTAAGCAATAAAAATAATATTCCTTTCTAGTGTTATACATTGCAATTTTTTAGTCACAACAACAGGAAGACCAACAATCTTTAAATAAATAATACACAAATTGTTGTCTTGTGAAAAATAGGTCATGGAAATGTAACACTTTATAATAAAATATATTTAATGAGTAAGTAAATGAAGAAAACGGATATACTAAACTTACCCGCGTCATGACCCTTTCTGGGAGGATTGATTCCTTCAGCCAAGATTTTCTTAACTTCATCTCCCCAATCGTTGCTATTTTTCTGCTGAATTAAAACAGCCCTAAAGAGAAACTTAATTAATAAGACACCTTGGTTGGTGTATATTTTTTTAAATACTAGGTTTTCTTCTGTAAAAAATAATAATATGTGTAGGTTTTTTAGTTAAATTAAAACTATTGGTATAATTTTTAATTCTGTTTTCAACCATAAAGTAATTTTAAATATATTTTCACTGATTAAAAAGTAAAGATCACAAAAAAACTAGCAAAAAAATTTAATAAAACCCCAATAAATTTCTCTTTAATAATGTGAACATCGCACAACGGAAGTATGCGAATTATTTATTTAAGACTTCCGCATATTGTAAACAAGCCAAACTTCACTTATGAAAGAACTGTCCGTTGGCTTTTGTTTGGTACTTCGCCTGTCGTATTAGTTGCAGAGATACTTTGTATGTTCATTTTCGTTGTTGTTAATTATAAATGTTTATTACGTATTAAAATTAACATTGGTTAATGTGAACAAATCTATAATATGAACGACTTTGTTTTTTGGTTCACACTATTGAATGTCTAGGGAATTTATTAAATTTAAATAAAAAATCTTAAATTTTAAATAATCCGTAATAAAGGTAACGATCTCACAGAAAAATTATTACCGAAGGTCAAAATTTTCAGGATAACTGGTGGTTTCAGTCCTGGGGTAACTAATATAACCCTGAGTGTAAAGTTTTTCGGCGATGAACATTGCTTGTTGTGGACCCACACCCAATCCAGAACTAGCCACTCGCATTAATTCAACAGTATTCAACGCTAAGGGCCTTGGCTTTATCAATTTCTTTGATGTTACACTAACGACTCTACATAAAAAGTTTATATTATCAATTAAATTAACAATTTAAAATAACAGTATTTCAACAGATTGCAAACCATTCAATCAATTATTTGTGTGTAACATATTACTAATTCTACATTAAAATATCCTGTGGTTATAATATTTAACTTTTTCTTAACATTCATTATGATTGACTAAATCGTTTTTTTCAGTTTTTTTGATAATATGATACACCTATTGAGACAGGAACAATGATGATCATTGTTGAACAAGTAAATTAGATTATTACTGTTAATTAATGCTAGTTTTTGGAAAATGCAAAAGATCGACTTGCAATAAGGTAACAAACATGTGGCATTCATTTTTATATAACAAAAAGTTAAATGAAATAAAATTTGAAAGAGTAATTTAAATCTTTTACAGTACAGAAAAGAAGTCCTCTAATCTCATTCAATTTGTTATTTCTTATTTATAACAATCCGTTTTGTATATCCACGCATTCAGAATTTAATAAAGACACCTATAAATTGTTTTCTACCTAGCATGCTTCTGGTCCTTAACAAGTTGCAAAAAAATGCCAGCAATTTCTTTATCAAAGCATCTTACTCTCTGCCAATCTAAAACAATTTCTTCTCCATCTTTAGTTTTGATTGACACTTGGAGAACCCAATAAATTTCAGGTTTAAATGTTTGAATTTCATCATGCCTTTGAACACAAAAACCTAAAGTTGGAGTTTGACAAGGCCCATAAGATATTAATGTAGAATCTAAATCTCCATATCTTCCCTGAAAATATTTTGTTTGAAACCTTGTAAAAGCACATCCAATTCTTAAATCTAGCTCCTGGCGAGCATCAACACTTTTGGCTTCATTCTCATTTGGAAAACCTATAAAACAAGTGCAATTTACTAACCCAATGAAAAATCTTTGCTCTTTAAATGTTAATGACAATAAATGTGTTCAGTTCACAGATGAAATAAAACTAAACTGTAAAGAACATTTTTTTTTTAACAGCTACAAATTACACACTAAATTTTGAAACTGCTAGGAATAGATACACCAAGGTACCTCTAGTTTTTCTTAATGTTAGATTTCAGTTTATGAATTTTACAAACTTTACCTAAATTTTCAAATGCTGCTTTAATATCCTTTTCAGTAATTGCAGAGAAATGGGCCCTATATGTGACTGCATTGCTATACACATTTCCATTAAATGATCCAGAAACGGCCTGCATTACTTCAAAACAAATATTTTCTCCTTCTTTATCACAATCTAGCCACAACACAAGAGTGTCACAACCTTTAGCTTCTTGGGCTAAAAACTGAGGCATTTTTAATTTAGGCATTGCTTCCTTCTTTTCAATGGGACATGAGAAAAGCTCAATGGGATCAACTTTATCCCAGTTATTGTATTTACTTATAAAATCAACTCCCATAACATGTCCACAAACACTGGTCATTTTAAAACGTGCTGGGGTACCTTTAAAAGTACTATTCCACTCATGTATTGAGCAAGCCCCGTTAAAACCTACAATAATTTTACTAGAAACTTGAATTTGAAAATTAACTGTTTTACCTTTTCTGCTTGAATTTTTTCCATTACTTAAAATATTCGCTAAAGACGCAGCTAACGAAGGCTTTTCAGCAACCATTAAAACGGTCTTCATTTTTAATTTAATTATTTATACAAGAAATACTTTAAACTTCTCTAGTCCGCATAACCTTAAATCTTAGTAATCAAATTATAATTGTCAAAAGTTATTAACGTCAATATTAAATTGAATGTTCGCCATCTACAAGTACTTGTAGCACTCACTAGTTCCTATCATTAGTAAACTGTCACTGATTGGAATTTTACAGAGAGTACCAGCAGATGGCCAGAAATACTCGTTTGGATCATAATATACCCTGAATAGTTTCAATAGAGGTCAGCAAAGTAAAGAATGAGACATGAATGAAACCGATCTATACAGGGTGGTGCATTTAAAACTTCCCACTTGGAATATTTTGTTGGAACAATATACTCTAATTTTTGTATGTTGAAATATTTAAAACAAGCAGTTTTATAAAAAAAGGTAAAATTTAATTTTTTAAATCTTTTCGGTTTATATCTGATTTTTTAGGAAATAAACTTACAGGAATAAATTTTTAAGTATCTACATTGTGTATGCATATTTTAAAACGCGAAAGTACATATGGTTATTCTCTAAAATTTTGTATCTTTATTTTATCAGTTCAAAATTCATGTATTGTTTTAAATGTATATTAGAATACGAGTAAGATTATACAGTGAGGACGCATACAGTGAGGACGCGTGAGTTGGAACAAATTCATTTAGAATTCAGGGGTTTCTTTTCTGGAAAAACGCTCGGATACGTCGATCTTTATTAATAGCTGCCGATTTCTTCATTGTAAATTCATGTATACAGGGTGTCCCAAAAATAAGCCACTATCACTGACTATTTTTTCAAATGGAAGCACCTATTATTTATGACATTTTTCAATTCTGTATCGAATTTTACCTTTGTGTCAATTTCTTAGACCAACTACAAAATTATATAACACCCACATTAACTGCGTTTTACCGAAATATACCAGCAGGTTCGTTATTGTTCCAACAACATAGAGAAACCTCACACTATTCGCAAATAGTACGAGATTACCTTAACAATATTTTCCCAAATAGATTGCTCGGAAGGAGAGGCGTTATAGAATAATCAGTTAAGTTTCCATCAGATTTTTATCTGTGGGGTTATCTGAAATTTAAAGTCTACTTCAATAACTATGTTTCATGTACCATGTCCTATACCTAAGGTAGCAGTTATCGATAAATTTAAAAATGATGGGGAAGACGCGTATATTAGAACAAGCATATTTAAAGTTGAGCGATTTGTTTTTTAGAAATTTATTAAACAATATAACAAAAAAATATTTAAATAAATGTTTATTTGTCGAGTAACACTTGTGGCTGGATTTCTTGAATTTCAATTCTAATTGTATTCCACAATTTTTGTTATTGAAATAGACTTTAGATTTCAAATAACCCCATAGATAAAAATTTAATGGAGCCAGGTCTGGAGACTTAACTGACCATTTAATAACGTATCTCCATCCGATCCATCTATTTGGTAAAATATTATTAAGGCAATCTCATACTATTCGTGAATAGTTTGGGGATGCTCCATGCTGTTGGAACTATACCGAACCTGCTGGTATATTTGGGATCTCGGCATTTGGGTAAAGCGCAGTTAACCTGTGTATTATGTAATAAACAGTAGGTGTTTCCTTGATGGTATCTGTCGTTATCACTTAGTGAAACATGATTTGAGATTATAAATTAAAATTAAATCAAACAATTTGGAAATTTCACTTAAAACTTTATTAAAAACTCGATACGTATTTCGCCATATAAGGGCATCTTCAG